TTCGCGTTACTTTTAATACAATGGCACAAAAGAGCCACAAAGATATTTGATCTAACGACAATGAGTGTTATCAAGTTTCACCTGTCACTTAAATAAAACACATTTCAAACGGATTCATTACATTGGCATCTACTAAAACCAATATTAAACTTTTGAACTTGTACAGTCACGATGTAAAATAGCGCTTATTTCAACGACATAAGTTCTTAGTGTAAAGTGCCTTCGTCGGTACATAACCAAGGGAGTATTTGACGTCACTGCTTGCGGTTACGGACCACAAGAATCATATTCAACAAGCTTTCGCTAGAATAGAGCCGATTGGTAAACGTCTACAGTATCTAATTGCTATTATCAACCCTATTGGGTACGTGTTAAGTTTAATTTACATTTCTACTAATGGTAGAGTCTCTATTAGCTTATCTTTTTTTTATCCACAACGAGGAAGCTCTTGGCCTGTATCTCACCTGATGGCAAGTGACGCTCAGGCCGAAGGTGAAAGCGAGCTTCACCCGGAATCCTCAACCACGGAGGAACTGGCTGTCTTACCTCTTAACTGCTGGAACACAATAATGCTGTTCATTGTTGTTATGGCAACAGACTTAGGTAAGATGGTGGTAGCTAGCCAGGCGGACTTAGAACAAGCCCTACCACCAACCAAACCGAACAGAAAAATCTGCTTCCACTGGGAATCGAACCCGGGACCTCTGCGTCTGAAGCAGGTGGTCTTACCACTAGACCACAGAAGCGGATCTTATCTGTACCTAGGTACAACTTTTAGTTACATAGGTCCCGGCTAGAGATATCCAGAAATTAAAGCCACCGATAACTCAACCTCTTATTGTGAGATCGCAGTATATTAATCTATGTCAGATAACTTCCTAATAATTTTTCAAAAATACGCCCCTTAGTACTTTAAAAAAAAATGTAAGTTTGTAGAGGCACTTTGAATACGTATGGCAGTTTTATCCATCCGCACCAAACGCCCTGGATAAAGAAAATGCATTTCCGAAAAGAAAAATTGCTAGTTCAAGCTGCAAATGGGTTTTCCGTGTCGTATAAATTTTAGATGAACGTGAAACTGCATTGTGCTTCTTGGCGCACTGCAATAACTGACTGTAAGAAAAACAAAGTGGTTCAAGTGCAGTTAATTTATCTAATGTAGAAATTAAACATATCTTAAAACGTCCTACGATTTAGCGACAAAATATATAGTAGAGTATCCAACAAACAGCGAATCGTCTTCAATAAGTCAAACAACAAGATTTAATTTATCTTAGGCGGCATCTAGAATAGGGAATAAACTAAAAAACCGACTTTAATTAAAAATAAATATAGGTAACATAAGCCCCCGCCCGATTACAATAGGTGATTTCCTATCAATAGAAGGGATAGAAAAGTTACAATGCAATTCGTTTTTTTTTTTCTAAATTTCAATTAAAAACTCTAAACAGTAATTGTTTCTGCACTTCTTGCTACTAAAAACTATGGCACAAAAAATACAGCCTGCAAGTCCGCAGCCATACAATATCCCAACTTTATGGCCTGCCAATTGATAACCCATAAAAGCCATAACGTTAACCAATAGCAATCGAATAGACAGAAATTATTATTAATCACCGTCCCCTATAACATCAGTCGTCAGAAAGGTGTGGAATGAACTAATAGGCCATTCATCAATGGTTTGATTGATGATAGAGACGCAAAAAAGCACATGTCAATAATAATAAAACGGTAGAGCGAAATGGTAAATCGGTAGATTATGTTGTAAGCATAGTGAGATGTTGACATCAAAAATGGCACTAGCTGGAAAAAGAAAAAGATTCATGTAAAACAAATGAACCGTTTTTTTACGTCAAGATATATTTATTTAAAGACTAAGGGCTGATTTTGCAATCGTCGGATAACTATAAACTGAAGAATAACCTTGTCATTTTGGCATATTTCTGTCTGTGTCTGTCAATATTCCAAACTTATTCTTCTGGACGATTAAAAAATCAGCCCTAAATGTAACCTAAAAGTACCAGTACGGCTATGGGTTCATTTTGCAAGCCTTTTTGATGCAAAATTAGTAACATTTTTAATTAAACCCAGCACTATACAAATTTTATGAAGTGATGCTCTTACTAAGTAAAATAAAATATGTACATTCGTATTTAATTACATTAAATCAAACCCATGAGAGGGTTGCTATTTAAAATATCTGTAAGGGCACGGAAAAGAGCTTTTTAAAAGCCAACTTAAGTACTTTGAATAATTATAAATCGTAATTGCTAAACATAAATCAAAGTTGCAACTTTTAATGCTTTTCTTCAACATAACCTTACAATGCAGTGTTTTGCATTCATCCATTATCAGATCGCCTTGGAGGCTATATCACTGCTATTCCTAGACAGTGTCCTTGCATTTAATTAAAGTAAGATTACATATTAACGTTAGATTTTGAGGCTAACACCGCGGCAACACGCAAAGTTGTAGATAGCGGTGGCAACACATTTGCTACGAAAGCTCGAGGAAGCTGTCCTTGAGCTTTCGTAGCAAATTGTTAATATTATTATGAGTCTGAGAGATATTAATTGTCTGAAAGATAATAATAATATAATCATGTTAGTAGTAGCTAAACTAAATTTTCCTAACTTCGCCAAAGAACTTACTTGAAGCTTTTTTGTAAGTTATTAGTAAATTAGTTTAAGCTGTTTGCTTAATATTATGTTTAGAGTAGTTAGATGATAATGTTATGTATTTGCTTATTGCTATTTTTTCTCTTATTTTATTACATTACGTTTAAGGAAAAATCCAAAGAAACTTACAATAAACTGTTCTTTTATCTTTCTCTGTGACATTTTAAATAAGTAGGTACTAAAAACTAATTGCGTTTTCGGCAGTGAAAAAGAGTCGTCATTCAACTCTATTCATGGATTCCTTAGAGATTTATTTTGCAAATTTATTTTATGTTTACAGATCAATACTATTGAACAACACAATGGGCTCTCCCCACCGTTACGCCATCGATCGTTCTAATACAAAATACTTTATACCAAGCATTCTACTGGCACATATAAAAAATATCACCCTCCGTCCGCCCGTCTGTCATACAGCTCTGTACGAAATAATTATCTGCACGAAATTTGAAATTACTACGCGGTAGTGATGTGCAGAGAAAAAAAGTTATATACCTATATGGTTTTAAAAATTAGCATTATACAACTTCACTGATTACGCAAGCCAAAATAATTTATCTACTTCTGTAAATATTCAGCTTCAATTTGAATGCGAGATAAAAATCTTATCCGAATGAATCAGGCTTTAAAAAGCAAACTTCTAACTTCAGTAGTCAACGGTACTTGAAATACCTACTTTTGATTTCTTTTTCATATAATGGAGTTCATAAAAATTATATTAGATCAATCACATATTTGCCCTCTTGTTTTTTTTACGTATTTTTATTGGCTATAATTTAAGTTCAGTTGTATTAAGTCAATCGAATATAAAATAAAATAATAATATACATAGACACACCACAAGCACCGTCTAAACAATACAGACATTGTTATTCATAGAGTAATAATCCATAAAAAAGCTATAAAACGTACTAATCAAACAATAATAATGACGTAACATAAACAAATCGTAAACAACTCCGGAGTATCTGTTGATAGTTATATGGAAAATAAAATTATAGATCATATAGATAGTCTATCGTCAGTCGATCACCACTATCATAGTATAATAATAACGTAGTAAGTTAAAATAAAAAAAGTAAAAATTGTACATTTTAACTAACAAAAACTATAAACTAAAGTATTTAAAGTCACTAAACTGAAGATTTTTGCGATGTGCCAGGCAAAAGTTTACATTGAAATCCGTCTAAATATCGATATTTTTCCCCATCACTACTCCGCGGTAGTTTAGGGTTGACACCATTTGTCAGTGGTGTTGCCACGTGATCCCAGATATTCCAACACTGAATAGTGATTTGATTAAGGGTTGAATACATCTGTCACTGCAGATAAGCAATTTGCCAATTTAAAGTCTTAATTACGTTATTGATACACAGTTATTTGTTGTGTTTACGTATGACACCGAGTAATGTACAAATCGGAATATGCATGTAAAAGAAACATACAGTCGAATTGAGAACCTCCTCCTTTTTTAAGTCAGTTAAAAATGAGTACAAAGCGTCTCTATGGTGTAGTAATTTGTAGCATAAATTCGAGCTTACCTAAAACATTGAAATTCAACCAATCATAGGACAGGCTTGACTCTATGCTTATCTTTGAGTAGAGTTTTGAGGGTAGTTTATTAATGCCGTAGATCCTAATCAGAAAAAAAACTACAATAAAGGTGTCCAAGCTACGACGGTTATTTACGATTTCTTAGAAACCGCTAACTTTATTGCAAAAATTTAAAAACATAAACTTACTTGACATCACTGAGTCTATAATAGGAACTGAAATACTCAAGAAACATTGCAATAAAGAGAGTTCAATAAAGAAGTAATTTTAAATGAATATATCGCATAACAAGTAGGTACGAATTGTTTGAAAAGTTTCCATAATATTGCGAAATAGAGTAAAATTATTGCTATTAATTAAATAAAAATAAGTAATTTAATTATTAATATTTTAATAGTAAATCACTCAAATCTTAACAAAATCCTAGAAGGATGTCAAAGCTAAAAAAATAATGACATAGCCATTGCCACCATGCTTTGTAGAGCTTACCACATGTAAGCTCTAATTGCGCAACTTTTGAAAACTGAAATAAAGTAAAACGTCATTATGACCTAATAATTTAATTTCAAATCTAGAGATGGATACGTAAGTAATAAGTATGCTTAATAAGTAGGTAAATAGATAACTTCATCATCAGGTCATTTATTTTAATCTTCACTACAGGAGCACATTCTATCTAATTTACCTGGGGATTTGGCCTGTACTCCCCATGCTGACCAGACGGGTTGGGGAGACTAATTAGAAAACATGAATTTATAATGTATTTACCTATGTACCCGTCCACAGTGCAAATGTACAGTATCCACAGCCATCCGAGGTGCGTGCATCGCGCGCGGGACGCCCTCAACATTTTTCCAAACTCACATTTTCCAAAAGCATTTTCCACACGTAACTTTAAACTACGAAAACTTCTAACCACATATTAATTACTGATCACTGGATTATCCCATTATCGATTGATACGGTCACTGACACATCCGCGTTTGTTTTTTAATAGGATTAAAGGTTGAATGGCAGCGAGCGTAAATACGCGCGTGTATTTTTTCGCGGCGCAACGTTACATACGTCCGTAGCTCGCCGCGTTTGACGCGCTACTGAATTTGAATTGAAATGGAACGTAGCGGCGAATTCGTAGAATATCGTGCATGCTCGTAGCCCGTAGCGTTTTGGAAAATCCGCGTAGCAGATTGATCGAATTTCGTAACTCTTGAATGCAAATGTGAGATTGCTGTTTTGAAATCAATAAAATCAAACATTTGGCGAACAAATGACGCCCGAAAATTATTATGAAAAATTGGTGATGTCAGCCAACTATACGTATTCTTTTAATACCTAATCCGCTAATGACTATTTATCAATCTAATATTAGCTTATTTATTAGTTCCAGTAATAAGGCTTATAAGCTAAAATAGTATACCTTAGGTTCTTATTACTCATAGCCCATTCTCAGAATATCGGTAGCGCAATGTCAATTTTTAATTAAAATAACTTCTTGTAGAGAGCGTTTCTGGTATGAACGTCGTTGTGTGGACTTCACAATCAACACGTTGTTTCACGGTTTACCGCATAAGTTAACGGTCCTCCAGTTTTATGTGATGAGCATTAGAATGTTTGTCGCCCAAAACTATTAACTTTCAAATGAGTGTGACGAACTACTTCCCAGTTCACTACGAATGACTTTAGTGTTGTTCTTGAGTAGTATAAAATAAGCACCTGCTGCCGCTGTTTGTTAATTTTTTTGTATTAAAAAAAAGTTTAATCCTGGTTTGCACCATTTAAACGTAACACAGTATGTTATGAGACTGTATAATCGGACATTCTCATTTATTTGATGAACCGTATAGAGCTCAGTTATACAAACATGATAGTAAAACTCCCGTTTGAAAATTCCACGTAGTTTTCGCGGTATAAAAATTCAAAGTTACCTATTTTTTTACTTCAAAATTATGCAAAAATATTCTCACTCGTTAACTAATAACATTAACCAATAACATAAGCCGTGTGGTGACGGCAGAGTAGAATACATTTGTCACCAACCCCTACTCTTCCCGCGGGTGTCGTAAGAGGCGACTTAGGGACTACACATCAAACAGAGAATGGGCAGCAGCGCTCTCTGAAAAACATCAATCTTTTAAACTGCGATCTCCAACCCGCCTGCCAAGCGTGGAGATTATGGCAAAACCCTCCACTTTAGTGGAGTAGGCTCATAGTCCAGCAGTGGACTTTAAAGGGCTGTTGATGAAAAAATGAAAAAACTAATAACATTTAATTCAGAATTGTTATAATACTTCATAGAGCTCTTAAAACTACACGTAATAAGCGTATTAAGTGCTTCGTAACGCATTCAGTTAATTAGGAAAAATGATTTTAGTGATTTTTGTTTTTATTTTTTTTTCTCAATTATACCTTAATATATGCAAACATTTTTAATTGCAAGATATAGTCTGATATTTAATCTAATTGTATAAAAAAAAATCAGCTTTAAATTCCGTGATATATTTGAGGAAAATTAAATTGAAAATATGCGCCATGTAGAATTGTAAATTTCCCATCACTTTTTAATAGCAATATTTCTTTTGGATGTTTAAATATCATCAGTTCGATTGTACCAAATTATTGTAGGTATATACATTCGATTTACATAGGTTTCAAATCGATGAGAAAATTATTAAAGGTAGGATAAATTCGACTTCCTAGATTTGTTTACATACTTTTTTAGTTAGTTACTTTTGTACCACTTAAGTTAATATAAGAGTGTTAAAAAAGAAAAAAGACTCGACTTGAGAACCTCCTCCTTTTTTTGAAGTCGGTTAAAAACAATGTGAATGTGACTTTTTAGAACCTTCAACACTATGCACATAACAGGCGGGATTTGAAACTTTTTAGACCTGAATTATTCCTTCCAAAATTGTCGACCCTAGACTTGTAAAAATTTTATTAAGACGTTTTATGTTTTTTCTCAAATATATCACGGAGTTTAAAGCTGATTTTATTAATACAATTAGATTAAATATCAGACTATATCTTGCAATTAAAAATGTTTGCATATATTAAGGTATAATTGAGAAAAAAAATAAAAACAAAAATCACTAAAATCATTTTTCCTAATTAACTGAATGCGTTTACGAAGCACATAATACCACAGAATACATAATAGTAGCAACAGAAATTGCACTCCTTTGTGTAGGATCAGATGCCGACATTTTAACGGTAATAATAATAATGCAAAATATCCAACGCACATGGTGCATTCGAAATCGCACCTTACTACTACGCTCACAAGAGCGCATTTTTTTTGGGTTTAGAATTGATCTACGTCACCGCTCAAGCGTCAGGGTTGTATGAGCAAAGTAAAATAAATAAAAACTTAATTTTAAGAAGCATTTATTGTATTTACGATTAGAAAACTTTAATCTAGTGGAGTTTGTATAATCGTACCATCTCTAAAGTACCTATTAATAAACTTCAGTGTTGCGATAATTCGAAATTAAACAAACAGTTTTAAAAGGTGTAGTGTCGGAAAATAGACTCGGTGAAGTAAAGTTAATGTTTTTATTAGCTAAAATATTTTTTTTGCTATAGTTTTTTGTCATAAGTATTTCAAAATAATTTATTATTTAAAAAGTGTAGTTTTTTTATTTATTATTTAAATCACTACAGTTAATTATTATTCCTAAATATTACAATTTTTCATTAAAGAAGAATAACAGTGCTGTTGGAACAATAAACCTTGATTGCGACTATGATCGACCGAGCCTGTATAGATACGCGTGTGCAAACAGGCGCGTGGCGGCCCGGACTGATTTGCAACTTGAAGTTGTCGCGCGCTGTAGGTAATTATCTCGGCCGGCATAGGCGAGTGACGGAGGCCTGATAATACGCTTATTACGTGTAGTTTTAAGAGCTCTATGAAGTATTATAACAATTCTGAATTAAATGTTATTAGTTAACGAGTGAGAATATTTTTGCATAATTTTGAAGTAAAAAAATAGGTAACTTTGAATTTTTATACCGCGAAAACTACGTGGAATTTTCAAACGAGAGTTTTACTATCATGTTTGTATAACTGAGCTCTATACGTTTCATCAAATCAATGAGAATGTCCGTTTATACAATCCCATAACACACTGTGCGTAACTATAACAATAATCGGTGTTTTTGTACAGTATTGTTTTGAAACAAGCAATTAATAAAGTTTTAAGAACTTCTATGAAGTCTGTTTCTATAATTATGTTTAAGAAAGCAAAATATGAAAGGATCGGAATTGATAAAAAATCTTTCGGAAATGCGTAGGTAATGTTCATTTTCAGAGGAATAATAAATTTATAGTATGGGACTAGTATTATATTATATGTGGTATGGGCAAGGAAAAGTCAGCATTTTTTTGGCGGCTCCTCACTTAGGCCCGGTTTGATAGCCCGATACTTCTTCGATCCGCTTTGGTGTCAACCGGGCCTTATTTACGTTTCAGTCAAATGACATTTATTGTCGGTCTCAGTTGTCGGTTTATACTGATAGGTATTTTCTATGAATGATAATTAAAGTTATTAAAAAATATAGGGCATACTATTTCATCTTGCGCCATCACTACACAAAGCAAAGGGCCGATTAAAGAGCCGCTCAAACGGTGTCCGACATTAGTATGGGCGAAGGGCCGAAGGGCGCTCGCCAGTCGAGTCACGCTCGCGATGTCCTGTGAGATTCGGGAACGTTCTAGACTAGAATGACCTTTAGGTATCAGATTTGTCTAACTTTTTAAAGCTATTTTACACTTCGTATTCACGAGAATTTGCGATTGCTTTGGATTTTGTTTCGAATCAATTTAATTTGTAGTAAAATTAAAAACTAAAACTTACCTCTAAATTACTCCAATGAAACGTAGGTACCTAATAACTTTTTCAGCAAACCATAAAAAAATCGCAATGGATTCCATAAGCTGACATATTTTAAATAAATTGAAATCTATTATAAATTAAAACTGATTAAAATCGGTAATACACTCGGTATAGGTTGCAAGGGCGATGTAAAAATGAAAACCAAACGTTCACTTAAATATAAATTTATTTATTTTGTGGCGTTATTCATACAACTAAATTAAACCTAATTACAATACACATCCACAGTAACACATTAATACAGAGTACAGTCTGTTATGTAAAGCACGTAATAGAAATGCTTTAGTCGTTTTCTAGCGGTAGGAGATTTCTAAACAAACATTATACCTAATAATGAACTTTACTTTTGTAGATAATGTACGAAATAAAGTTATGTGAGGTCCGATACGCGTAAAAACCAGATCGTGCGTGGGTGGATAATAGACTTCAATTAACAAAGCAATCTTTGAACAACACAAAATATGTGCGTTACAAGAACGTTGTCGTTTTCCACTTTGTCGAACCACACGATAAAATGCCCGGTCATGTAGAAGTTAATTGAATTTTTAAGGTGCCAACACATTTTCTTTTGTATCATTTGTGAAAAAAAAAAGTGTGATCGATCGTTTTGTTCTTCTGGATAATTTTTTTTTGACCACACATTCGTTGTAAATGTTGGATAGAAAACTCCTTTAGTAACCCGAAAAAATAAAATAAATCGACTTTTTTTCAAAAGGCAACACAAGCCCGATATTAACACAAAGACATTACAGGTCGATTTATTTTAAGGGATATTTTATATTAAAGAAAAGCTAGTTTTCTACTGTTAATCCTAAATTGAGACCAGTGCGATATGAGATTATTCTCAATATTTAAACTCTGTACCAAAAACTGATAGAAAAGTCAACAAAAGTTTTGTATATTTATCTGCTATCTCTTTTCTATTTCACTAAAATTGTAACAACACATGCTTTATCTAGCCATGGATCTATAATATTTAATACATAGTAAAAAGTTGCAACGTCGCGAATATAATAGTGGCAACACATACGTTACTCGTTCCCAGTAATTTTAGTGTTGCCATGCTGTAGATTGCTTGATAATGTGCTAATTGAAAAATACTACACTAAAAATACATGATGCAATCATTTATGACTATGACTACCTTCAGAGAATAGTTCTAAGAGTCAACTGTTATAAGTATAAATAGATCAATGACTACATACAAGCAATATGGTCACATTTGCTGCATCTTTAACAAAGCTATTGGTTTAAGGCATCTTTGATTACAGTCAGTTTTATTATTTTATTTTGGTACCATCAAACATTACCCTTTCAGTACTGGCAACATGCTTTCATCTATAACTAGCGCTATCCTAAGTATTTTTTTCGGTTTTCGTTTTATAACATTATAAATTACATACCACCTTAACAACAAACAAGATATTATTTATACATCACATATCCAACGGCGGTTGGATGCACAAGAAAATCTTACATCTATGCAATATAGAGAATCGTAAGTAATACATGTGTTTCAACAACATTATTGTAATTATTAAAGAATACATGTAGTTTTATTGTGTAGGAACCCAACATTATTTTCAGATTTAAGCTTCTGGCATACAAGCGGCATAAATTTGACGTTTTATACTTTTTATGAGATGTAAAATTTTGTATAGCAATAGGGACGGTGACGAACTAAATTGCAGGCCTGTGTATGCCACAGTGGTAAACGGTTTGAGCCTGCCCAGCCAGTGCACTAGCAAAGTGTTGTTTAGTGACGATAAAGGTTTATTTATTTATTTAGTCATTATTTGTATGCCAGACGCTGGTCTTACATTTTAAGTCTTGTCTTAAACTTGGTAATGGAAAAATATCGCAATTGTAACCTTATGTTTGTTGCCTCTTTAATTAGGGACATCTTTTTCCTTCCTTAGTAAATGAAACGGACTACAAATTTTTAGCTGTACTTATTGCTATGTATTTTGCTACCTAAAAGTGTAATACAAATAATTTAGTTATGCCAATCGTAATGCTTTACAATAAGTGCTTAGCTTAAACCGAAAATAAAGATCCTCAGAAATATTTTTACATCCTATGGACCTCTCCAAAGTACTAAAATTACTTTGTTCTTGAAATACAAGTGCAAAATTTATTATTTAAATATTTTAAATAACCTCTCAAAAACATCAAAAAGAAAAATAAGATAATAGTAATTCATACTAAGGTAACTTGCATTAGATGAAGAATACTAATCTAAAAAAAATTATCGTGTTTTATATTTTTCAATATAAAATAATGAAAGAGCAGGTAAAAGAATGAGACCAACGGATCAAGTGCAATAAAAAATAAATGACAGAAAATGATTTAAAAGAAAACAACAATTAGTGCAGTAATTCACTGCCTAGTAATAAAATATATCATTTTGTTTTGTGAGTTAACTACTGAGTGAGTTAAGTAAACTGTGTAATAATTATTTTCATGTTCATTGTTATATTCACAGCGTTAACATCATACACTAATCTTGCAAAGTTAATAACATTGTAGTTTGTTTTCCTTCTTGCTAGATATATTTGTGAAGTTACCTTTCGAAAGAATGCTGAAATGTGTCAGAATGTAAAACGTGTCTGTACAATTACTAATCGGCTCTCTCTCTCACATCTGCGGGAGGAACTCGATGGGAGTTGCGAACTTGAAGTCATCGGGGAACAGTTTGGCAGCAAACGGATACATTAGTTTGTAAGACTGCCGGATGGTCACGTCTGCTACTCCAGCGATGTCACCAATCTCTTTCTGGCTGCGTTTGTCTTCGGATGCCTGGAATTTATTGAAAAAGGTACAGTATAATACTATATAAATAAATAAAAAAAAAGAGTTAAGGAGAGTGATTGACTGTAGACAGAGATCACTAGACTAATTGCATATTAAATTAACAGTAAATACCATTAACCTCAACAGATAATCCAACGTACTCAACTATTAATTTCATTGTTAATTACCTATCACGATTTTAAACTGTATCAACTACCTATATGTATGATTTAAATAAGTAATTTAATAATTTACCTGTGAAGCCATGTAAATAGCAGCTGCTGCGACCGAGATAGGGCTGCGTCCAGACACAATATCCAGCTCCCCTGCTTTCCTTGCGATATGCGTGGCTGCTTTTTGTACGGAATTGGGCAGGCCCAGGTTTGAACAGAACCGGGACATGAAATCAGCAGTTGTAATCAGATCCACCGAGGTCTCCAGAGCCTTGAGGATGAGCTTGAAACATCTGCCTATCTCTTTCTTGCTTATTTTGCTGACAGCGCAGATTTCTTTGAAAGTACGAGGCACTCCTTCCTGTCGACAAGCTATGTACAGACAGGCAGATGCGATGGCATCATTCGCTCTTCCCTTCAAGTTTTTGCCATCATGCACCTGAAAATATAATAAATAAGGAAAATAAAATTAAAAACCAGTCTTTGGACTCACAAGTCTCACAAAAATCCAAACTGATAATGAACAGTATCAGTTGCATACATATTTTTACAATTACTTTGGCAATATAATTTACATATTATACCAACCAAACACTTAATACATTAATATGATAAGTGGTGTAGGTAATTGGATCACCTGATACATATTTATTAAGCCAGCAAGTGTTTGTTAATTGTAAATAATAATGCAATTAAACTACAATTTTGCCAGGGAACTTGTGTAAAATTATAAAATACTAGCTGACCCGGCGAACTTCGTACCGCCTTAGCGTAGAGATTTTCTTTATATTTTTTTCCGTAAAAACCTTGTACAGAGTATTAGAAAACTACAAAAAAAAATTCAGCCAAATCGGTCAAGCCGTTTTCATGTTATGTCGTGACAACGGAAAACGGGTTTCATTTTTATATATATAGATAGACTAGCTTTCCGCCCGCGGCTTCGCCCGCGTGGCATTTTGTGTCACAGAAAATGCCACGCGTGAAACTTTATCGCGCGCGTCCTTGTTTTAAAAACCGGGATAAAAACTATCCTATGTCCTTTCCCGGGACTCAAACTATCTCCCTGCCAAATTTCATCAAAATCGGTTCAGTGGTTTAGGCGTTAAAGCGAGACAGACAGACAGTTACTTTCGCATTTATAATATTAGTATAGATAGAATACTCACCTGTTTGAACAAATTGTTAGCCCTGTCTACAATAGTTTTGGGTAAGTTTATCCTGTCTGCCATTGTGTTTATCTCCCTGAAGGCGTTGATGAGGGCTCTGTCGGTGCTGCTGATGTTCCTTCGGTTCTGGTACTTGGAGACTCCGAAGCTGTCGAATGAAGCGTCACCTCTGCCGGGCCCAATGATGGTGGACAGGTCACCTCCAGACAATAGGGGGTTTTCCGGCCCACCAACACGGGAAGGGTCCACGCCTGATTTCTCATTGCTGAACGTACGCCACTCTGACCCAACATCTATAACTCTGAAATCATTATTATAACGCAATTCAGTGATTGGTTCTGTTCAAAATCAATTAGACACAGTTTGTAATTTATGCATTGGGAATTTAGTGTGTAAACAACATTTAAAAAAGACCATTTTGTTTTCAGTTTAGCCCTTGTTATTCTTTACTTACATTTACTGCATCATAATAATCTTAGTACTTATAAATATGAAATAAATGTAAATCGTTGTCGTTTAATTAGTAATTCTTTTTTAATTTAGCTACCCTGCAATGTCCATGAAACTTGTTTTACAAAATGCGCGAGAAATAACGAAACTTACCTGTCACCAACTACAAGACCGCATTCCGAACATATCATGTCCCCTGCCCTGTAGTCCTCAATAAGTGGGGCGTCGGGATGAGCATAGCACACCACTTTATTCGCTTCAATTCTAAAATCACAAAGAAAGTAGCTCAAGTAAGTAATCACCCAACAAGTAGAAATCGCACCATCAGGTATCAATTATTGCGCTGCTATTCACTTAATTGCCACCAACGACAACTTACGTAAAGCCATAGCGAAATTTAACTTTATTCTGCTGTACAATAGTAAAATTACTTGCTTTTGAACGAAATAAGAATAAAAATAAATCAGAAAAACAGACCTCGACGTGCTCGCCATGATTGTCAAGTTGTCATAGACAAAGTTTGTGTTTTTCTTTCACCTTGACGCATTATGCTTTTGCCAATTTCATAGACAATTTTAAATTGATTTAAAGCATGTGCTCATAAAATTAAAAGTTAATAATTTATTTTAGTAGGTACTAGTGTTTTAATAACTATCTACTACTTTCTTTCCTAAATCTTTTCCCGTTATTTGAAGATTTGAATCCTCCAAACTCTGAACACTGGGACGCGTGACTTGACTCCACAAAAATTCTAAACTTTAACAACAGATGGCGTTAGTAGGCAGTCGTCGTTGGCTCTTCATAAAAATATTCGAGTCATGAATGTTTCCTTTTGGTATAATTATATAGTACTATACTCTATGATGAATGTTGGTATGATCATGGGTTCGATACCGTGGTAATTGGTGGTGATGCTAATTGCTAAACTAAAAGTAAGTATTGAAGAAAATTCAATCGCTTCCATCGTCTTGTACCTACTTCATCTTAAATAAGAAGGACCGAATGAATGTTTAGGCTAGTCTACCTAACTTATCAATAGCCTTAGATTTATTAATCTAAGCCTACAAAACATCATCTTAATATTTTGGACTATGTTTATTTCCCTAGTAACTTTATTTATTCAGATTTTATTTAAAAACTCTCAAACAAACTAATAAAACTCATTTTATTTTGCAAATAGGCTTTAAAAAATATACATACTTTTACACGTCCTAGTGATAACCCTACCACTGTCCACTACTGCTTCGGGACATTAAGTATCTACTTACTTACTTGGCCAGTGCTGGGAAGAAGCAGCGCAAGAATTGTCAGCCTCTTTTTCAAGGGTTCACAGTCTTTAAATTAAAGGGTAGGTAGGCAGTTAAAAATTCCAAACATTTTTATCTTTTTAAGTAATCATCAACTTTATTTTCAGAATCACACCAGTACAAACCATAAAATCTGATTTTTAAACGTGTTAAGTATTTGCCAACTTGATTAGTTTAGTTTATGCAACTTAATTTATAATTAGTACTTACTTAACAATCAAATGAGTAATGTAATAGGTACATAGGTATAGGTACTTAATGGCCTAATCAACAACTGAGCAAAAATTAAAAGATTTCGGAACTCGTACCTACCTACGACCTACACAGACATCAAGTAAAGCTTAACACTATGTCGTTTATAATAGGTGCGATTTTACAACAAAAATATGTAAGTCTGATGTGCTGTCGACTATAGGTATTTTACAGCTAAAGTAGGTCAGTGGGTCATTGAGAGTACTGCACGATTTAATGTAACAATTTTTGCCAATGTGTAATATAGGGTAATTGCGCCGGTTTTCCGTCCAGCTCCTGTTTTCGTCCATTTGACCGACTTGCCACAAACAAATACGGAAAATTAGAATACAAACCTAACTTTCCGTGCAAGTTTGGACTTGTTACAATCTATAATACAAGAACCAATTAAAAAAATATTTAATTACCAACTGCTTTTATACATTAGATGAATTCTTTAATAGTAAACAAACTCTTTTAAGATAAGGCATCTCATAATGTAAGTTGCTAGACCTAAGTTTAGACTAGTCCTCTCTCACCACTAATATTGCAATACCCATTAACGGGTTATTAAGTTATAAGCTCATTATTTAGATTAAGACCCAATTGTAAACACTTGATATGCAATAAAAATTTTGAATTTGAATTTGAATTTAATATCTAAGTAACAGATCTGCCTACATCAAAATGTAATTTGACAAGTAATAACTCCAAAAAAATCTACGGAAGTTGCTGCTGCACACAGGTGAATGGATAACGTCGTCAAGTTAGAAAAAAAAACGTGCCGGTAGGGAACTTTCATGGTATGTTTAATTACTGTTTTAGCTACTTTACGTAATGTTTTTGGCACGTATGTCTAATTATTAGCATAATAAAACCGAAGACCTTTGGGGAATCTCTGTCAGTATTATTGGGACAATTATTGACACCATAGCTCCTCACCTTGCATTCATTTTTAACACATGCATTGATCAAGGTTGCTTTCCTAGTTTAATGAAATTAAGTAAAATAATCCCATTGTTTAAGGCTGGTGATAAATGTGACCCCTCTAATTTTCGGCCGATTTCTATTTTACCAGTACTTAGCAAAATTTTTGAGAAAATTATATTTCATCAACTTCTTTCTCATTTTATTTTCAACAAATTACTTCACAATAAACAATTTGGTTTTACCAAAGGTAGAAGTACTACTGACGCTGGAGTAGCACTACTGAAACACGTCTTTGATGCTTGGGAGAGTAAAAAAGACGCTGTTGGTATTTTTTGTGACCTTTCAAAAGCGTTTGATTGTGTAGACCACCAAACCTTACTAAAAAAATTGCGACATTATGGTGTTTCGGATGAGGCACTTGATCTGTTGAACTCGTATCTCACAGGCAGAAAGCAAAAAGTTTGTATTAATGGAACTGAGTCTTCTGGAGCACCTCTTACCATGGGTGTGCCACAGGGATCGATATTGGGACCTTTGCTATTTCTTATTTATCGTTGTTGTGTTTTCGTCCATGACGTCATGAGCAAGCACTGGGGTGGACTCAAACCAAAATTAGCTATTCCTGTAGATTAGTTTTCGTCCATTTGTCCTTCGACCTATTGCAATATTTTCCTGAATTTAGGTAAGAAACTTATTTAAATATTTTTGATATCATTTGAAAGCTAACAAAATTACCTTTCAAATGATATACCACAATCCATAGTTACTGTATTGTAGAATTGATTTTAAGTTAATAATTCAACTGCACCCTTTTTTCTACACAGTGGTCGAAAAATAGCGTACACTAGGACGAAAACTGATTTTTTTGGACGAAAACTAGTGAAATCGCCTCTTTTGCATAAAATATTTTTTATAATAAATCCCGTGGTATTTACTTATTGTCATATAATATTAACGTAAAGTAGACTATATAAGGACTAAAATGACATATGATACATATGAGTAAGTGTATTTTAAGATATTCATTTCGCATCACAAAGTTGGCAACTCCGATAATTGGACGAGAACTAACGCACTTACCCTACGAAATTGTGATTCTTACCAACCCGTTATGTGTTCATCGCTCCGTATTTAGAATGAATCATTTCATTTCTATTCAGGGATTTAGAAATTTCAACAAAAAGTTGTTTCGCATTGTGCCCGTAACTTTTACGTTCGTAATGAATCCGCGTGATTTTTATACAAAAGTGAATTTGCAAGCATTTTGATTACCAAACAGTGAAACGTGGCACACCCCTCTTAGCACACTTTTCAATTGACGTGTAAGAAAGGGTTCGAAAAGTTTGGTAGAGCGATGTGACGTCACGGGCGTTCGAAACGTAACATGGCGTGGGCTAGGCTAGGCAGGTCGAGCGTGATCCGTGACGTAGCAGAAGCACAACACGTGTGCCAGTAACGCAATGGATGAACGAAACACTGGATGGCGTTAAGGAAAACTTTACTGTGTACGAAATTGACGTAGTCGTTTCCATTGCGACAAGCCCTCGGCGTCATTGATAAGAAGAAACTGTGGGGAAATTTGATAAAAATTAACCTGCCTCCTTTGATAGATGTTTGACGAGTATTTCCACTATTTTCCACCACAAAACTTTATCTAACAGTGCTGCTGCAGAGCCTCATCTCTTAAGAACAAACTTTAAAATTATGAAAAATACTTGAACACACTAGGTGAGGAAAAAGCTGGAGGCTTTATTACGACTATTCATACTATGTACATGATTATCTACTTACTATGAAGATCAAAAACTAAGCAACCAGTTCGAAATTTTGAAAGTCTGAGCCAGTGTAACCGAAAACACCAAGCTCTCTACATCGTAGTTATGAGAAATGAGGAAACAAGAAGAAGCGTCATGACATGGTATGCAAGGTTGCACTATTAACCTTCAGTATTAGGCAACAATCACAAAATGAGGCAGATTCGTCAATAAAAAACCCATAAAAAGTTAAGTAAACAATCCAATTAGATTTTACATTAATGACAGATTTTGTAAATGTGGAATGTGACACTTCCATTTAACTAGCTATTGTTCAATAGACTGCAAACTACATGTCAATTGCAGAACAAACAAATAGCAGGTAGGTAGCGGCTAGTTTTACCACACGACTCGGTTTTTTGCGGACGTTTTGAATTTTTTCATTAACATCACCGCACATTCAATACAAGCACCTTGCTCGTATTTTTTTAAATAAAATCACCCACTATTATAGCTACCAATGAAGGCTATCAGGCCACCCCCAAAGCCTTCGTAACCTTGAATCAGTTATAGGTCTGTCGTTAGGTCGCTTCAGTCTTGTGCTGAATGAACTGAAAACGATTTTGCGTAGGTGTCTAGAGGAGTGTGGGGGTGGCTTCTCAATACTAATATAGAACGACCCTGATCTGATCTCGTCGCTCTACATTATTATTCCCGAAGGTTCTAACTTCACTTTGTAATTAGAATACTGAACAACAAGCACAAAAAACTGAAATAGCAATGCTATCTCGTGAAATTCTCACCATTTATTTATTTATTTATTCATAAATTGCAATTTAATACATAGTTACCTTAAGAAACTTAAAACTAGTCTAAGCTACTTATGTACTATGTACACCCGGTTGGGTACAGCAATCCACTCTAATACAATATAAAATATTATAAGTACCTACTTTCAAACTTATATTAAACAGTACTTACTATTTTATTATACATTTATATAATAATATTATATGAAAAAGTTTTAAACTGATTTAGATTTCATTCATCTACATCCACTGCTCAACAGAGGCCTCCCCTAATAATGCTTTCCATGTTGCCCAGTTGGTAGCAGCCTGCGTCCAACGCCTGATACCTTTACGATATCGTCGGTCCACCTTGTTGGTGGACGTCCCACGCAGATTCTGAACGCTGAAAGATTTCATTAGTTTCAGCCTAATTACGTTCACAGCCGAACAAAGTTCTTCTCCATGGATTTCCACACAGGCGCTGATCCACCGTTGTGGGCACTGTGGGCATGCCCACAACCCTAATTTGCTTGTTTTAATATTATGATCTATTGATA